AATGTATGGACAGTCGTAAGGAGCTTCTTGGAAGCAAAAAGCAGCGAAGGGCAAGAATTGGAGACAGGATGATCGTCATTCTTCATAATGGAGAGTCAGGGTCTATATTGTTTTATGCTATTTTACCTTAAGGGTGTTTAGGTCATGTCCTACATGATACTGATGATCATGTGCTAAGAACAATTATGTAGGGTCGGGTTCGATGACTATGAGGATGATGATCGTATGACTTATTATTAATAACGAGTAGAAGTTGTATGATGATGCATGATTAGTAGAACTTGTTATTATATATGATGATGTATGATGCGAGCATGCATGAGTTATATTATATCAGCGGGTGAAATGAACATATATAGCAGCAGCGTTGGTAAACCAAGGACGAAGATATAAGAGAGGACACTTCTCTCTATTAGCTAGCTAATAACAACATAAAAATAATCCCCAAAACACCTAAAGCAGCCACTTTTCTAAAAAAAACACATGGACTTTTGGTCCCGGTTGGTGCCACCAACCGGGACCAAAGGCCCCCTGACTGGGCTCGGTGCACAGGGCCATGTGGAGGCACATTGGTCCAGGTTCATGTTTGAACCTGGACTAATGGGTGGAGGTATTAGTAACGACCCATTAGTCCCAGTTCATGAACCGGGACTGAAGGCCCTTACGAACCGGGACTATTAGGTGTTTTCTACAAGTGTTTCCTGGTGACCTGCCCGAGGGAGGCGACCTGAACGGAGCTTGAGGAGGACGACATGGCTGGTGATTGGTTTTGCTAGATGTAGTGGATAGAGGAGGCTCTGATTACCATGTAAATGAGCGGAAAACGTCGTACCTCGTCGGAGGCGACGGGTGCGTGTTAATATAGGCAGGGGGCATCTCCCTGATAAGCATACAAGTTGTTGAGATTACATCTTGAGAAACAAGAAAGATAGAGAGATAAGATAGAGATCAAGTAGTTACAACAATATAGCTCTATCTATCTAGCCCGACCTGGTTTAGGCCGGTGCGCCCTATGGGCCTAGTATGACACGTTTAACATGATAACAGTTGGTCTTCAGGTCTTGTTATGAAGCATAACGGCTGAACTAGTACCTAGTGGTTGGCGCGTTGAAAATCCAGTTCCATCATAATTCAGATACACTTTCTTGGCCTTCTAAGTTTACTTTTTATTCCTCTTTGTCTCAAGTTGCTTAGAGAACTGCTATACACACGATACAGTCTGGACAATTTTTGGATTACGCAGCACATCAAGCCGTTCCTGTGTTGAGCGCAAGTGGATAGCAACGTTGAAGCCAACGTCGTGTGGAGTTCGGCCAGCTATTGTCGTCCACATAGTAGTTTCGAGTTGTTTATTCGGGTTGACATGTTTGGATTCCAGGATCTCAACAAGCTGTACATATTTATTTATTTTGCGGGAGAAAAAGGATTTGTATTAATCAACCTGAATCAAGCTGATCCAGTACACAAAGATTTACAATCCCTTCAAGGCCAGAACCCAGCCAAACTGCAGTTTTTATGTCTGTACGAGCTATACGAGCAAGCTCGTGACTAACCTGATTCCTCTCACGTTTAATAGCCTTCACCTGGAACCTCCTATCACCCCTGGTTAGCATTTTGATCTCCTGGACTAGTGCAGCATCCTTAGATCGATCAACAGCAGCCTGGCTGATCATCCTTGCAGCTACTGAGCTGTCCGTTTCAATGATAAAAGGCAACGAACTCCATTCCAGCGCAAGAGAAATTCCCTCTTTGCACGCCTCCAACTCAGCTCGTAGTGCATTATCACGTGCAAACAAGTGTCTGCATGAAGTGAAGATAATGTTGCCGTCGCTGTTCCTCAGGACCATACCAGCTCCACCATTACCCGCATGCTCAGAGAAGGCACCGTCAACGTTCAGCTTTAGCCATCCAGCAGGGGGAGGCTCCCACTTCTCTGTTGGTCGCGGGTCTGCGCCTCTCGTGCTCGGCGCCGGCGCAACAACTACACCAGCTAGGCATGCCGGGTCTGTGAGCACCATTTTGCCTTTTACAACGTCTCCCATTGGGTGCTGCTGAATACAGAGAAGCGAAGAAATATAGCTATGCAAGAATCTGCAGGAAACTTCAGTGGGAGGCGGTTCCTTGTCATGAATGATCTCATTACGAACGTGCCATGATCTCCAGAATATCATTAGGGCCACCATGCAATTCTAAAGCATACAAGTATGACACTATGAGTGGAGAGCAGACATTCAAAATAATTTAAGGTACTATTCTGATTTGGATAACGAGGCCACACAATTCATCCCAAGTCAGTTAGAGGCCGTTTGACATATATTTAGAAAATATAAGGAAGAGGACTTTTCTCGCAAACTGAACCTCAATAGGTTCACTTATTAAATAAACTAGATAAAACCCCGCGCGTTGCTGCGGAATGACTATAATATGTTCATGTGAAACCAATGAATATCCATGCAAATAATCTTGTTACATAAATAGTTCTGACCTGCAATTTTGAGGCATCTGGAAAGGATTCCCTTAGAACTCTCACATGTCGATGCACAGAATGATCAGAGATTAATGTTATGTTAGTACCATCCGACAGAAAAATCCTTAGGAGTAAATATACAATTCATCGCAAAAAATATATATACAATACCAGAAACGGCTGAGAAAAAGTTCCCTCAAAACTCTGAAACTTTGCTGCATGGATGAACGTTTAGTTAGCATGCCACACAAAAAAAAATTAGCTCTGGCAAAATACAATACCAGAACGGGCTGAAAATTGCCCCCACTTAACCAAATATAATTCCATGTCGTATGAGAAATAAAAAATATGAGTTGTTCGTGATTGATTACCTGCCAAAGCATGAAGATGTTGCATGGGATAATGATGGATGTAAATGTCCAACATGATTCTTTTTTCCTAGTAAAAAATCACATCAATCTGGAGTATTTGGCCGGTGGGAGAAAGGAATAGAAGAAAAGGATTGCCTGGTCGCTCGTGGAGGCTTGGGGCCTATCGTTTTGCTCCGCTCAGTCGCCAATCGCTAAGCCGATGCGACCGAAGACCAACCACACACGCGACGCATGCTTAGCCACAACACGCGATCGAGCGGCGGCAGCGGGCCGGTGTACAGCACTTGACGGTGCCGTAGCGGCTCCAGCTCACAGGACGGCTTGGAGATTGGATGCTTTGATTTCGAGACGGTTTGGAGAGACATATACGGATTGATCGGACGAAGGCAAGAAGAGAATTAGTGCCATGACTGGGTGGCGGGCTCTTGATTTTCCATTGGTGGTGCCATGAAGCTGGCTTTTAATGGGAGGGGAGACTCAAGGGATCAGCTTTGGTGGAGCACCATCGCCTGTTCGCATGCCCAGATGGTAACTGAATTTAGACGGGGAGGAGATGGGACTGGAAGGTGTGTGCCTAATTAAAAAAGGAAAACACTAAGAATAAGACTCATGTGCATGCTGACGTGGCATTAGGCTGATGTGGACAATGTGCATGTTGAGAGAATTAGTAGTAGTGGGGATCAACTTTTTAAGAATGTAAGATGGGGATCACATTAGGGGTTAGGCTCGTGCAAACGTTACGAATTAATTTGGGTAACTCCCAAATATCATTATAAGCCCGTGTCCAATGATTCAGGGGTGAGTCTCGGGTCAATGGCGAAAGGGAGAGGGAGGTTTAACACATTCATCATTTAACAAAATGACAAAATAAAATATTGAAATTAATTATTCAATTAATAATATCATGTTGATGAGATGCACATGATTAGGCAAAATATATTAGGTACTATTCTGGAATTGTTTTTCTTAAACCTGTTTTTGTTTTTAGAATTTGGAGTTGAAAATTTTAGTGGTTCTACACTTATCTTGTGAACATTCACAAAAAAACAAATGTTTTTCAAACTTCAAATTTGAGTTTTCTGAAATTGGAGCATGGTAACACAAAGGCCATGGGAGCAGCAGCTATTCACCCTCATTCACGTATATCACTCGACGACGACCGCTAAACGCTGGAGCTCCGTCTGTGAGCCGTCCAGTGCAAGCTGGCCAACGCGGAGGAAAGGAGCCAGACAAACGGTGGTGACTGCATCAAGAGCTGGATGGAGAAGCTCAAGGCAGTCGCCTACGAGGCCGACGATGTACTCGTCGACTTCCAGTATGAGGCACTGCGCCGCGAAGCCCAGATCGGCAAGTCCACTTCCTGCAAAGTACTCGGCTACGTCACACACCATAGCCCGCTGCTCTTCCGTTTTGCCATGAGCAGGAAGCTCAAGGGAGTCCTTGATAAGATCAGGGAGCTAGTTGAGGAGATGAATATGTTTGGTCTTGAGAATTCTATCCATCGTCAGGAGCCGCAACTTCCTTGGCGGCAGACTCTCTCCAAACTGGATGAGTCTACCGACATCTTTGGAAGAGATGATGACAAGGAGAGGGTGGTTAAGCTGCTGCTAGAGCAGCAACATCAACAGAAGGTTCATGTGCTTCCTATCTTTGGTATGGGAGGTCTTGGCAAGACAACACTTGCTAAGATGGTGTACAACGACCAAAAGGTCCAGCAGCATTTCCAGTTGAAGATGTGGCACTGCGTGTCAGACAATTTTGATGTTTCCGCTATTTTGAAATCCATCATTAAATTGGCTAATGGAACTTGTGACCAGGCTGACAGCATCCAAATATTGCAAAAGAAACTTGATGAAGTCATTGGCCGCAAACGATTTTTTCTTATTCTCGATGATGTATGGAATGATGAGAAGAGGATGTGGGAAGATGAATTGAAGCCACTATTGTGTTGTGTTGGTGGACAAGGAAGCGTTATTGTGGTCACATGTCGAAGCAAGCAAGTGGCCTCTATAATGGCCACTGTTAAGCCCCATGAACTAGCATTTCTGAGTGAAGAAGATTCATGGGAATTGTTTTCAAACAAGAATTTAGCAATGGTGTAGAGGAGCAAGCAGAGTTAGTCACCACAGGAAGACGTATTGTCAATAAATGCGGGGGGTTGCCTCTTGCTCTGAAGACAATGGGTGGATTGCTAAGTTCGAAGCAACATGTAGAGGAATGGAAGACCGTCGAAGGAAGTAACATTGGGGATAATGTTGGGGGCAGGCATGAGGTCATGCCCATACTAAAGTTAAGCTACAACCACTTGTCATCTGAAATGAAGCAATGTTTTGCATTCTGCGCAGTTTTTCCCAAGGATTATGAGATGCAAAAGGATACGTTGATCCAACTATGGATGGAAAATGGCTTTATTAAAGAAGAGGCGACAATTGATTTAACACAAAAAGGAGAATGCATTTTCCATGAATTGGTTTGGACGTCCTTTCTGTAAGATATGAAAGTTGTAGACAATTATTCCTCGGGATATGAGACAGTAGTATGTAAAATGCATGACTTAATGCATGATTTAGCAAGAAGTGTTAGCAATGAATGTGCCACCATAGAAGAATTGATTGAACAAAAAGCATTGGTAAAAAATGTCTGCCACGTGCAAATGTCAACGGATAATTTTGAAAATACCTATGGTTTGTTCGATGGCAACACATCTCCCCGCACTTTGTTAGCTCCTTCATTGATGTATCAGGAATTTAAACGTCTACCACATGTATGATTACGAGCATTGCATTGGCAGGGTTTGTCTCGCACCAGTTTCAAGTTCGTAAATGCAAGACATGTATGGTATCTTGACCTCTCCAATTGTGACGTCAATGCTAGATTGCTAGATTCAGTATGTCTATTGTATAACCTGCAAATGTTGAGGCTGAATCATTGCACTGAGCTACAACAGTTACCAGAAGAAATGATGATAAGCCTGAGAAAGCTCATACATCTTTATATTTTTTGATGTGATAAGTTGGACCGGATGCCTTGAAACATTGGCCAGCTGAACAACCTTCTCACACTAACAAGATTTGTTGTGGATACTAGAGAGGGTTGTGGTATTGAGGAACTCAAAGACTTGCGCCACCTTAGCAACATGTTGGAACTATACAACTTGAGAAAAATAAAGAGTGCAATGCATGCAAAAGAAGCCAATCTCCAGCATAAGCAAAATCTGAGTGAGTTGTTGTTCAGTTGGGGCCTTGATATATTTGACAGGACCGAAAATGAGGCATGTAATGAGGAAGAAGTGTTCCAGCATCTAGAACCTCATAGCAAGATCGAAATTTTTGAGTTGCATGGATATGGTGGCCCAGAAATACCACGATGGATGAGAGACCCTCAGATGTTTCAGTGCTTAAGGAAACTCGCAATTGCCAACTGGACAAGGTGTAAGAATATACCTGTAGTATGTCTCTCATCATCACTGGAGTACTTATGCTTACACAACATGGGTAAACTGAAGACATTGTGTGATAACCTTTGCATAGAAGGTGGAGGACGCAGGACCCGTCTACAAATTTTCCCAAAGCTGAAGGAGATGGTCTTGGTAAACCTATGTAGTCTAGAAGGATGGGCAGAAAACAGTGCGAGGGTGGCCATTGATAGCTCATTAATATTCCCGGTTCTCGAGAAGCTAGTAATCGACAGATGCCCGAAGCTTGCAAGTTTTCCACTGAGCCATGTTCTCAAAGACCTGAAGTTAGAAGGATCTTAGTTGGGAGTGGAGTGTGTGTGTGGGATATTCCAAGGTTGCCTACATCCCTTGAAATTTTGTGGATTCAATGCTTCAGAGGTTTGGTGGTGCTGCCTTCGAACCTTGGAGATCTGGCAAAGTTGAGGGAGCTACAGGTACATAGATGCAGGAGCCTGAAAGGGTTGCCTGGCGGGATGGATGGCCTCACTTCTCTTCGGAAATTGAAGATCTCTTATTGTGCAGCGGTAGAGGAATTCCCGAATGGTCTCCTTCAATGGTTGCTAGCCCTTGACCGCCTAATCATAGGAGGCTCCCCCGAGTTGCAAAGACGATGCAGAGAAGGTGGGGAGTATTTCCACCACTTCGTCCCTATCCCAGATAAATACATCCCAGCAGAATCAGAATCGGCATAATTAGAACCGAAATCAGAATTTAGAAATGGAGCACCAGAATCAGAATCCAGCGAAAAGTGGTTTCTAAAAAGGCTCCTCCCCTGTTGTGTTCACTCGAAGTCTGACTATGAGTCTGACAATAACTGAGGTGTGTATGCCACAAGTCCTTTCCTTGTGCTATTATGGTTTATTATCGCTCCTCAGTACATGTAATATAAGTAACTCCCCACTGTTTTTCTATTTTGATTACTTATCTGCTATTTTCCTTAAGCAGGATAACCAGAAGTATGGTTCCAGCAGTGACCGTTGGTTCCTCCTCAGTGTTAGAATATAAGTTGAGTTTAAATATAAAGATAAGGAGTAGAGATCATGTATTATTTGTCTTGTACTCCAAGCCTCCACCCCCTCCAACTTGTCACGCCCAATATGCGACCCTATCCAAAAAAAACTCGAAGGTCCCACCAAGGATAGACCCGCATATTGAAACACTTTTGCAAGGTGGATATCATTACATCAACATTACAAAATTGTCACATCCTAGCTAGTTCATGCATTAGAGTGTTGCATCATGTCCATTTTTCTCAACAGAAACTTGAAATGGGGATGACAGAACCCCCAGCCCCCTCTGAAACCAACTAGGGTTTACTAAAAATATTTTCAATGAACCTGAAATGCCCTTCTAAAATGTCCATCATTTTTGTCTTGGTTTAGAACCCCTGCCAAAAGTGGTGCACAATTTTCTAGGTCATCCTAAGGTCTTTGAATTAAATCATAAGTATTTGAGTTTGGGCATTTAAATTATATAAATTATTTTAAATGCTCAAATAATCCCAAACTAAAATGTTCCATGCTGGATATATCCCAGTTAGTGGCCATGAGCAGTTTGGGAAATTTTGGAGTTGTTTAGGTATTTTTAGTAAGTCCACAAAGTTACAGAATAATTAAAAAAGATAAATAAGAGAGAGAGAGAGAGTGAACTAACCTGGCAGCCCGCCTAGCCAGCCCACCAGCCGGCCCAGCCCAGCAGCCGCTCCAGCGAGCTGCTTGCCTTCGCCAGGCAGGCAGGCAGGTGCTCGACGGCGACGCCAGCGCGCGCCACGCAGCTGCCCGCCGTCCTGCTTCACCCCCTCGCCTCTCTGCTAGCCTGGATGAGCTCCACGTCGTGCTTCGAACCCTGTGGACACACCCATTCGCCCCCAGCTCCTCTCCCTCGCTCTCCCGCACCATGGCCGACGCCACCGCAGCCGCACCCTCGCCGTAGTCGCGCTCTCCATCGTCCCCGCGCCGCGCCACCGTGTCCAGGAGCTCCGCCGCCCTCCTATCCTTCGAGCTAGTCGAGCCCCGAGCGCTCGCGTGCCCCGAAGCCACTGCACTGACCTCGCCGACTCCGCCGTCACCGGAGATCCCCTTCGCCGTCGCCGCCGCACCAGCTCGTCCCCGACCGCGCCGTCTGGTTCCTCGAGATCGCCGTGAACCCAGCTACCTCTTCCCCCTTTCCTCTCTCACTCTCATACACCACAGCAAGCGCACGGAGCTTCACCGCACGCACCGCCGTCGAGCTCATCACCGACGTGTCTCCGGCCAACCACCGGCCACACCACCGTGTCCATCGCACTCACCGCACCCGCAGGAACCCGTAGCATCACTCCACGCGCCTCGCCGTGCCCCATAGCGTCGAGTTCGACCTCTCCCGAACTCCGGCGACCGCCAAAGTCGTCGCCGGCGCCGTTTCCGGCCACCCCAAGCCCAACCAACACCACCAAGAGCTGCGGCTTGGCCCCAGCTACACGTAGATGCCCTCCGCGGCTCTTTTGGTCGCCGGAATGCACAAAACCACTTCCGCCGCCGCGTTCGGCCTCGCCGGCGGCTAAACGCCGGTGAGTTGACCCCGCTGACCCCTCATTTGACCACGGGTGGGCCCAGTTTGACCCCCCTGGGTCAATGACAGGCGGGGCCCAGCCCTGTTAACTATCAGGATTAGTTTTAATTAATATTAATTAAACTAATTACACTGACACAAAGGACCCACTAGTCAGGGTAGACCTGGACTGTTCCGTTGACCGCTGACGTCATCCTGACGTAATGCTGACGCAGTAATTTATTTACTGGAATTATTATTACACAGGAAATTCCAGTAAATACCACAAACTTTGAAAAATCATAGAAATTAATCTATAACTCCAAATGCAAAGTTTTATATATGAAAAATGATCAGAAAAATCCAATCTATCCATCTGTACTGGTTTCATGCATGTTTAAGCAAGCTAATCTAATGTTTAGTGCAGAACAAGATAAAACACTTATAAGGGCCATGTATGAGTTTGAAACTTGAATCTTTGATTCAAAATGGTTCAAACCCATCTGGTCTTAGTTGCATTAGCCCAATACACTCATTTTGCCATGTCTCATGCATGCATCATATTGTTGCATATTGTTTGGTGATGTTGTGTATCGGTGCTCTTGCGGCAGGTTCTGCCCCCGAGGAGTACCACGATTACCCTAGCGAAGATCAATATCAGTGCATCGACCCATCAGGCAAGCAACCAACCATTTGATCATATCGATACAATCCCATGTTCTCGCTTCTGCTCTCTTTTACTGCATTAAGACAACACGTTTCAAACTGCTGCGTGCTACGGTAGTTGAACCCATTTCCTCTGCATGACCTGTCATTGCCACAGTAACTAGATGAAACCCACTAGCATGTGTAGGAGTTGATTGAGCCATATGTATGTGTTGTTCCTACCTTGCTATGCCTGCTATGCTTAGAGTCGTGTCAGGTCTGGTTCATCTGGGTGATGGACTAGAGTGAAATGATCATGCCGGTAATAAGAGTGATGCGGTGAACACGATTTGGTAAAGGTATCGATGAGAGGCCATGTAGGAGTACATGGTGGGTTGTTTCATTGAAGCCGACCTTAAGCACTGAGATCTGTATTTGTGATTTAAGATTCAGCTACTACCATGCATTGAGCCCTGAAATATGACCCCGCTCGACTTCGTATTCACCCTAGTCCTCTGTCCAGGAGTTGCAAGTAGTTTCTGG